GACGACCCCGTAAGAAACTCACTTTACACCCAGCAGCCCTGTCCGCTTCTCGCCCTGCCACAGCCAGTGACCACACACCTCAGGCTTACACAGCTCCAACACAACCTTCTGCAAGGCGCCAGGGCCTCTGCCTGACCCCTGCCCCAAACTGAGGGGAGGACCCTTGGGTGCGCGGGAACCCCAGAGGAGCGTAACAGGGGGGACCTACTTGCTTTTTTGTGATTTCTATCCTGAACTTAGGCTGAGGGCAAAATGCCAGGTGTGAAAACTGTTTTGCTGGGGAGGCTACCAGGCTGGGTTGATGCGAGCATTTGACCCTTGGACATAAGCAACGTGAAACCCAGCACGAACAGTAAACGGCCAGCACATCACTCAGCACCGCGCCTGCCTGGCAAGCTCCTGGCCCTGAGTTTGATTCCCAGTAGGAAAAAAAACAAAATCAGTAACAGTAAATGAAACAGGAAATTTACCAATCAGAAAGTACCAATGAGCCAGCCATGGCAAAGCAAGCATGTAATCCCAGCTACTCAGGAGGCTGAGGCAGGAGGATCACACAGCTCCAACAAACTCAGACCCTGGCAAGAGGAGAAAAGGGGGCGGGGGAAGAGCTGGGGATATAAAAGCTTACACACAGTCCAACTACACCAGGGAGCCTGCAGACCTCCCTGTGGATACTTAGGTTCAGAATCAGGGGTGGATGGCAGTCTCTAGGTTATCCAAAGCAGCCAGCCACGGTGGCACACGTCTGTGACCCCAGCACTTGGGAGGCTGAGGCAGAAAACTGACATGAGTTGAAGGCCAGCCTAGGCTACATCTGGAGTTCCAGGCCATCCTGAACTACACAGAATAGTGAGACCCTATCTCAAAGATAAGTAAATAGGGCCAGGGAGGTAGCTTAGTTGTGTGATGCCTGCCTGACAAGTGCAAAGCCCTGAATTTGATTCCTGGCACGCGCGTGTGCACACACACACACACACACACACACACAAAGTCCTGAGGGCTAAGCACCGGGCAGTTGTGAGCATGGTGAGAAGTCACTGGACAATTGCAGAAAGTAACGTTTGGCTCCAGCACTTTACTGCCAGGCACACACAGGAGCCACAGGCGGAAGAGGAGCTTTGCAGTCGGCAGGGAGTTGAGGGGTGGGGTGAGGCTACCACCCGGCTGGCCTGGGCAAGAGGAAGCGGGCAGAGGGACGGGCTCCCAGCCACCCGCGGCTGTGCTATGCAAGGTCTTGGCTCTTGTCGGTGACAGACAACGGAGAAGCTGGAGTAAGTTCTTTCTTCCTTTAACCAGCAAACTCCTGCTAAGCACAGAGCCCAAACAAGCTGAGTCTGGAAACGCTCAGCACCAGATCCCAGGCTCAGGCGGGGGTGAAACCCACCCAGCACGGGCTCCTTCTCCTCACTCCCACCCCACGCCTCTCTCCTTCCCCAGATGCACCCGCCTCCCATCCCACTGCCGAGGAGACAGTACGCTCCCTTTCTCCCACCAACCCACCCGAGACGGGAACAGTGCAGCCGTGAGCACCGCCCGGGCCGAGGCAGGTCCTGCGGGACCCAGACCCAGAACTGGGCCCCGGCATCTGCTTCCTCCTGCCGCGCGTGCGGCCCTGTGAACCAGGCTGCACATGTGCGCTGGAGCTGCTGTGCGGCAGCAAACCCCAAACAACAGGTAAATCGGCACAGACGGGGAATACAATGGGGACACTAAGAAGAAAGTGTATTTATTCAAACAGAAAAGTCTTTACAATGTGCAACACGCCATAGGATAAATGTCTATTATTTTTGAGAAAAATGTACATATGCACAAAAACTACTGGAGGGCCAAATAGAAACACTTCAGCTTTGGGTGTGTGAAATAAGATGCATTATTTTCCTTAAATTTTGCAGTGCTTTTCCAAAATACTTGTATGGATTTTGTAATGAGTGAGATGCTGGCTGAAGGGCCACAGCGCCGGAGCCGGGACCCTGCCTGCAGGCGCCCACACCTCCGACTTCCACACCTTCTGTTCTCCTTGCTAAGTGCTTGTTGTGAGCTGTGATTCGCACCTAACAGTGACAGTGCGGTATCACCTCGCCTCGCCTGTGCGCTGAGGTTCCTAAGGGGAAGATCAGACCAAGCGCCCCTAGTCTGGAAGCGGCAGCAGACTGAATGCCCCACCCAACACTGACGGTCACCGGAGTGGAGCAGGGTCTTGGGAGTCATGCGTGGGCTAACAGGATGGGCGGAAATGGGTATCGTGTGTGCCTGCGTTCCTAATAGTTTCCGGTGCACGTTTAGCAAGCGCCCTGCCGCTGACTCCTCCCAGGCTGCGATGAGCGGCCTGGAGAGGTGGAGGAGCAGCAGGTCTGAGCAGGCCAGCACCTGGCAGGCGCTAAGTTCTCCCACCTCTGCCTCTTCCTCCTTACCCAGCTTCGGTGCCTCTGTCACAGCAGCAGGACAGGGTCTGAGACAGCGGTTTCTGGATAAAGAGGTCCTCCCGGAAACTGCTAAAGCTCTTGGCTAAAGTGTGCAAATGGCCACTCCGTGACACCAGCATCTCCGCAGATGCTGGGACACCCTGGGTCCCCGCACACGGGATCCACAGGGAGCCTGGGGTGAGCGGCATCACACCCCTCCACCTCAACAGGCAGAGAGCGGCGGCTGGAGAGAAAGATGACAGGGGAGACCGCGCCCACAAGAAACCAACCTCGGGACAGAGAGAGGTGTTTGGGGAAGCAGCACATGCTCCCCAACAGAGAAGCAGGCAGGCTGCAAGTGCGCCTGTCACGCACGCAAGGCAGCTGCGACCGCACACTGCGCCTCCAGACCCCTCAGCACCCGCTGCGGGACTCGCCACGGACTGCAAGGCTGAGGCAGGAACCCGGGCTTTTCAGATAGGCTCGCAGACCTTCCGGTATCCTGACCGCGAGACAGGACCACAGGCTGTCAGAGTCCACACCTGGAGCGACACGGCCTCAAGTGAGCTGAAGACCGGTCGGCTCCCCAGGGGCAGGGGCAGAACGATGCCCCCCATGAGCGCCACCAGTGCACCTCAGCTGTCCCTGCCACGGAGGAGGCTCAGGGATGCGAGGCCGCAGGACAGTCCTGTGGGGGGACAGCACTCGGCCTTTCTGTGGTCCGAGGCCACTCTGCTCAGGTTGCCACACCGGCCTGGAGGTGCTCCCAGGAGAATGTCATCAGTGGGGTCCCCACTGGGTCTGTCCAGCATCTAAGGGACCGTGGTGAGCTGGCGATCGAAGGACGCTGAGCACAGAAATGCAAGCAAGTCACGACTTTATTCTTCATAAGCGAAACAACAGGCAGCAACCTGCCTTTGTAAAAAACACTGAATACCGGGGTAATGGCCATCCATCTCACAGAGACAGCAGCCTTGAAAGACATTCCTTTTAAGAGGAAGTCTATTATACAGATATTATTTATTTTTTGAGACAGGGTCTCACTATGTGGTTCAGGCTGGCCCTGAACTCACTATGTAGCCCCCCAGGCTGGCCTTGAACTCACAGTGATCCTCCTGCCTCTGCCTCCTGAGTACTGGGATTACAGGTGTGCACCATCACTCCTAGTTATACAGCTTTTAAAGAAAAAGTCATATTCATAAACCTAGGAATGACACACCTTTAACTAAACAAATCAGAAATGAGCACACAAAAATCCCATGGGGTGACATACAAAGAGGAAAGAGGGACATCTGCAAGTCCACATAAATTAAAATCCAGGTGACTCAGATCCTAAAACAGAAAAAAGATTTGTGTTAAAATATTTTTTAAAAGGCCATGAGGTCACAACAGGTGTAGTGTGCATACGTGTGTGTGTGTGTGACACAACCGGCTGGCTACATCCCGACTACCCAGGAAGCCTCTCCCTGCTCTGAGAGAGCACAGGGTCACGGCAGCCCCATCTCGACCCAACCCAGGTCCCCATGGCAGGCTGCAGAGAATAGAATCACTGTTCACCTGCAGTTCATTAGTTCTGCCACAGCTTAACTTCTGAAAGACTGGTCTCGAAGTGGTTTCACCCTAAGACTCAATGGCTCCCACCGCTGGTGAGGAAGGTTCTGAAACCCTGCAAGGCTGCCAGCTGGACCCAAGTCTCACGTCCCATAGGCCGTCACACATCACCCTGCACTGAGAAAGATACCCGCCCGACAGATGTAGCCATGCCTGGGGTCCCCGTCATACGACTCACAGGAAACGCTGTCGCTTCCCTGGGTCTCTGCAGCACTCGTGTGAGCCTAGGGCCACGACGGTGTCTGAGACACCTGCCCGCTTCTGGCCGGATGCTACAGGGACTACGACTCCTACTAGGGGCTGTACGCACATGGGCCTTCTCCGTCAGAGAACTCCCGGTCAAAGTCCTGCACTTGTGGAAGATTACGAGAACTGACACACGTAAACAACTAATGCAATCCTGGGGCGCGGGCCCGAGGGAACCAGAAAGCTAAACGGAGAATGGCGGCATCTTCCACTGCACAGCTTTGGCGCCTCAGAGCTGGGGAGGATTCTCACGGCGGGGCCGAGCCTGAGTGAGAACAAGGCTTCCGGGTGGTGAGGACAGGGACTCAGGCAGCTTCCACGTTTGGGGACAAAAAGAAAGGTTCACGACCACACTGGTCCTGGGCGAGGAGGTCAGGGGAGCCGTGGTCCTGAGCTCCCCAGAGCACTGCACTCCTCACGGCCCACACACGGCCAGCGCCTCTCCACTCTAACCCCAGGGTACTCCTTCCTGTGACTTCGTCATTTTGCCACATTCGCTGCGAGTCTGAACTGGAGATGGCAAGCAAGGAGTGCACCAAAGGCCCTTTGCCGGGGCCGTGGGCACCTGACAGGCAGAGGCTCGCTCGTCCGATCTCTGTGTCTCCTAGGCCCTCCTAACTCTGCACAAGGGCAGACACCCATGTTAATGGCGGAGGCCCGTCCCACGACCAGGTCCTCACAACTGGTCGCTAAACGAGGAACTGCACACAGGGTGCACACGACATGCAGCACAAAGACACGGCCAAAGGCAACTCCAGCCTGATGACTTTGCTTTTATTTGGGAAGTTCTTCCGTGCAGGACCGTGCTGTGCCACAGAACACAAAACCACAGCACTGCGCGGTGCAGTGCGATCGGCAGAAGCCCCTGCCCGGGCCGCACAAACATGGTGCGCTGCACAGACAGACGCTGAGCTCCGCGAGCGCACGAGGAAGAGGCGGCCGCAAGTCCGAGCGGCACCTCCATCCTGAGCCCACAGCCCCTGACCAGGCAGGTCATTAAAGGGGCTACCTGCGGTGTCGGACGGCAATCAGGAGGGGACACACGCCACTCACTGTCCTCTCCATAAGTCCTCATGGGTACAGCTGCGTTTTCCGGAAGGTCTCGTTGGTGATGCTCAGTCTGATCAGTCTGGTTCCGTAATAGTCTATGATGTAACTGCTTCCATCTGACGGCCCCACGATCTAGGAGGGAAACTGTCGGTTACCCATTTACAAAACGCAGTGCGCGACACTTCGAGTCTACTCTTCTCGGCTCTTAATAATGATACTTCAGTAGCCCCAGAACTCAACTCTAAACTAAGTGCAAAAAATAAAGAAGTCACTGAGTGGCGCTGTGGGTGACTGGACCCCGCCATCTGCGCCCCACGCCCCGAGCCGGGTGCTGTTGCCACACAGGTCAGGGACAGACCAGGAGACGGGCGGCCTCAAAATAAAAGTGAAAAGGGTGGGGTACTGGAAGTAGAGCGCCCCTGGGCCTACCCCCCAGTGCCCAAGACAGAAATCAGCAAAGTCTGAGCGCAGTGGCAGGAGGCCCCCCACTCAGGCGCCCACACCCGGGACAGCGCCACGACCCCATCAGAGCTGCCAGCCTCGAGCCACACCCAGGCCAGGCCCTCTCGGAGGTGGCCCTGTGAGGCACAGCCCACCTCTCCCTCCTTCAGAACTGGCGGTTCCTAACACACAACGCTGCTTTAATCAACCGCGCCACTGATAAATACAGTAACCCAGAAACCACAAGCAAGTTTTCAATAATTCAACTAGTGATTAAGATAGGCCTCAAAGATAATTACACTAGGGGAGAATTCGGGGGGAGAAGGAGAGCAGCAATCAAAATTCAAAGAGAAAAGGAAGTAATGTCAGACTGAGAAGCAGTTTGCGAAGAACTCATTCATGGCTTTTTAAGTGGATGGCATTTAAAACCCTGTGGTATTTCGTCTGTTGGGTACATGTCAAAATCAATGTAACAGTTTTATCTAAATATGCCAATATTTGAAACTACATCCTGTACAACTATGGACGCTCATGACGGAGACATAAATGTCAGTGGGTACAGACGTAAAACTTCTCGGGTCGCACAACTGTGCTTGCAGAAACTCCTCTGGAGCGCTTCTCACCTGAGGCGCAGTACCCAGCCAAGCTGGGCACGGTGGTGCAACATGTTGTCCAGCTATTCAGGAGGCTGAGGCAGGAGGGCTACTAGGTCCCAGGAGTCTGGGGCCAGGCTGGGCACCGGAGCGAGATGTCTCAAACACAAAAGCCCCAAGGTGACCACTGCAGGACATCCAGGTGCTGTGTGGCACTGTCTGTCCACAGGGAGCCTACGTCCCCGCTGCCTGCCACACAGCGGCCACGCTCAGGCCCAGCTCTGCCCAGGTCGGGCATGCGTGGGGACTGCAGGGGCACTGTCACTGACCAGCTGCACGGCCAGCTGGCGTCTCGCTCTCTGGTTCTGCTGGTCTTGCGGCCTCTTCAGTCCCAGTCTTTGTGGACCACGATCTGTAACCCAGAGCCCTCCAGCCAGGCTCTCCCGTGTGTAACCCACAGCACTCTCTGGATGAGCACTGATGAGGACACCATCCTTTACCTCAGTGTTAGGAAGACCATTAGCTGTGAAGGTTTCAACCACTTAAAAGCCTATTCCCTCACTAAAGTTTCAAAAATCGGCAGGCGTGGTGGCGCACGCCTGTGATCCCAGCTCTCAGGAGGCTGAGGCAGGAGGATCACCTTGAGTTTGAGGCCAGACTGGGCTACATGGTGAGTTCAAGGCCAGCCTGAATTACACCGCGGGACCCTGTCTCAAAAAAAATTTTTTTAGGGCCAGGGATTTAGCTCAGTGGTTCCGCCGCCTGCCTTGCAAGCGCTCAAGGACCCGAGTTCGATCCCCAGTACCAAAAAAAAACAACAACAACAACAAAAAAAATTTTTTAAAAGTACACCACAGTAAATGTAAACCAGTAACAAGGTCATCTGTTACCAAGACTGAGTGCCACGCACAATTATATGTGCTATACTTTTACATGATTAGCAGTGAACGAGGTTTACACCAGCATCACCACAAACGTGGAATAAAGCCCGTACCAGGATTCACGACAGCAACAGGGTTTCTCAACCCCCCACAACCTCAGGGGCCACCATGGGCTACAGCCCTTCTCAGCTGACTAAAACCTTATGTAGCACACAATGATGTAAAATGCACAGGTATGGAGGAATGAGTGTCGTGACTCTTCAGAGCTGGCTTATGAATGGCTACTACACAGCAAGGTGGGCTGCAGCACACCTGCAACCCCAGCGACTTGGGAGGCTGGGGCAGGAAGACCTCAAGTATGAGGCCAGCCTAAACTGCCCACCCAGACCTGTTCCAAAACACCAAAATGAAAGGGGTAGGGTTGTAGTTCTGTGGTGGAGCTCCTGCCTCACACGTGAGAGGCCCTGGGTTCCAGCCCCAGCACTACAAAGCACACACACTCACTATCCAAGGCTCCTACAGGACTACTGATTTAGACGGTTCTTTTTACTGCAATCTATTTACTGTTTCGTCCCATTCATGAACAGAGTATTTAGGCAGGCATAGTGGTGTGGGCCTGTCATCCCTGCACTCTGAAAGGCTGAGGCAGAAGGATCACACGTCCGAGCCCCATCTGGGCAATTTACTTAGTGAGACCTTGTCTCAAACGAAAAACAAGTCCGGGGAGGCAGCTCGCACAATGTCCCCAGGTTCACACCCAGCACCTCCACGCACAGACAGAATCGACAAACTCCCAATGTTTATTAAAAAAATAAACTCAAAGTATTTCAGTAAACCCAGCAACATATAAAACATGCTTATTTTAGCAATATGTGCACTATTATTTTACACTGTTTTGGCTGTAAGATGAAATAACCAACTCCTAGATTTTTGCTATCCACGTTATAAGACAAAGATTTCTTTCTTTTTCTCCTCCCTTATGGAGAGCAAACCCAAGGTCTTGTACGTGTCAGGCAAGCATTCTACCCTACAGCGCAAGGAATGTTTTCATAGGTCTGAGTCCGTGTAAAATACGTTTCTGGGGCCAGAGCCCACAGAAACACTGCGATTCACTGGGGAATAATGTTTAATGGTAAAGAAGAAAACAAGGACGGAGAGAAGCACAGACAGCCCTTGCTGCTTTCACTGTCCTCCATGGCAGCGAGCTGTTTCGCCTCCACCGTGCGCCACCCAGCTGGGGGCCAGCCTGCTAGGGACTGAAAGTTCTATAGACTGTGAGCAAACAACCTAAAAAAAAAAGAAGTATAAACAAAAAATGCAAAAGGTCTACTGAAAAACTGGAAAAACATACTCATGACAATATTAACAGATTATATTTATAGTAAAAAGTTTGACTGGCTGAAAAAAAATTCTCCTCTGGAACCGATGTGGTCAACGTCACATGTGAAACACCAAGCCCGACCTGCTGTAAGCATGAGGAATACACAAGCCTACGTGCCAGACGCACCCAGAGCCTGCTGCACCTGCAGCTGCAACGACACGGCCTGCCCGCGAGGAAGAGGCCCAGCAGGGAAACAGGAACCGAGGTGGCCTTCGCAGACACTGCAGGGTCCGATCTGAAGACCCCCACAGCATGTTCAGCTCCCTGTGTCCTCACCGAAGTGAGGAGGCCTCCTCACAGTGTGTGACAGCTCCCTCAAACTCTTCCTGCCACTCCCTGTCCCTGGCGAGGCAAAGCGGGGAGGGGCTGGGCTGGGCATATGTTTCAGAGCAACGGCAGGAAAATCCCAACTTGAAAATCAAATATTTCCCTTGTTTAATTCTGGTATCTCATTGGTCCATATGTTGCCTCCTCCTCACAGTATGTTCCAAATCCATGATTCTGACTTCCCCTGGGTTCGTGACAGTCACAGAACTGCACAGCAGCCACCACACAGCACAGGTGCGGGCCAGGAAGCAAAGGGGGGCCCCAGCACAGGCTGCTGGCCAGGTGGTGAGTAAACACGTCTCTCTCCCACCGGGGCACCTGTGGTGACCTCACCACAGAGCCCAGCAGAACTGAGCTCAGTGCTCGGGGCAGCACCTCACTGCCACAGGACCAGAGGAGATCCCCTGGGTGTGCATGCCGGCCCTGCACCGAGCCCTACACAGGCACCTGCACCTTCCTGTGCCCACGGCGTAAGCCCGCTGGGTTCCCTAGGTACCTGCACCGACAGGTTACACAGGACCCTGGCTCAACCCTGCCCCGCATCATGCACGCATCAGAGCATCCACATCCTGTTGTGGTGACTGCCACAGTGGACACAGCCACCAGGAGCAGACAGCTGGGGCAACAACTCTGAGCCCACGCAGGCGGGGAAGACTCGGGAAGTCACGCAGGGAAGGAGCACCTGCACCGGCTGCTCTTATCTCTGTGGCCCGGACTTGGGCAGGCGACTTTCCCAGGAACAACTTATATCTTTCAGGGACACAGCCTGGGAAGGGCTAGCTGGAAACGCAACCACACTCCTTTGCTCTGTCTCGGGAAGAAAATTCCTATTTGCTCACTTACACAGTCACTGAGTTTCATACACAGGGGTAGATTAAAAGCAGTTTCCATTCCAGGTTGATGCTAACTTACCTGCATTGAAATAAGAATAAAATCAATTAGGCTCCCAATTCCACAAAATCCCACAGTGCAAAACTTCAACAAACCTAGAAGAGAAAGTAAAGTCACTTACAACCTAGGAAAGCTTACAAATATTAACAAATTTCACATTCTAATAAGCCACTGTAAATACCACAGTATTTATATTTAGAATGTAAAAGTAATACTTTAAAAAAAATCAAATCTTCACCTGAAAATGTGAGGAAAGCATAACAGAATCTCATATAGAGAAAAGCCACAAAATAATTTATGAAATTATTTAACGAATAAATTTTACCACTAGAAAAAAAAACAAACAAAAAACGCCCCAGTGTAACTTTAGAAAACTCCTTAGGCGGTTACCTCCTGCACATACTCCAGAAATGCAAACTGGGTCTCTACATTTCAGACTCCAGAGTCAGAGAACCTCTCTCCTGAAGTCTTTACTGATTTAGACTTCACATGATATGTAACCCAAACTTGCCGCTACATCTGGAGTATAAAATATACGTGTCACGCTACACACACAAAAATTAGGCAGATACTGACTGTGTTCTTCAATTACACTTTTACTGCAACCTACACTTTTCTCTAAGCCATGTGTTCATTAGCACTTAAGTCAAAACCAACAGTTCCATGCCCAGGATGGGATTTTGTCCATGGGGGTCCCAACCCAAGAACTAAAACAGGTGAACCAGCACCAAACCTAAGATGTGCACAAGGATAGAGCCCAAAAGTGTGGCTTCTGTAGGAGCCACACGGGGAGGAGACCCTGACTCACGCTGGTAAGAGGCGGAGCAGCAGTGACCCAGAGAGGCAGTGGGCGCCAGCGCTGGCCAACAGGGCCACTGGCCTCAGACTGGGGCGCCGGGACCTGAAGCTCAATTTTCCCTTTCAATACCAGGAGGTGATCCCAGGGCTTTCACACTTAGCAACATCCCCAGCCTTTTCAGTCTTTTTCAAATGAGATGAGGCCTCGTTAAGTTGGCAGGTGGTGAAGGCTGGGCTTGAACTGTCGAGCCCCTGCCTCGGTGTGACAGGGAGCTGCTGTGTGGACAGCGTGGGAAACGCCTGCTGGCTGGCTTGGCACAGCTCTGGGTGAGACTGTGCGGATTCACCAAGGAGGAGATCTGCCCCGGGGGAATGGCACTGCCCGACAGGCTTGCAGCCTGAACAGGTTAAACAGAGGAAATGGGGAGAAGAGGGCAGGCTGGCTCCAGCCCTCCCTTCGCCTGGGACATCCGCCTCTTGGCCTCCAGCAGGACTGCAGTAGCTCCAGCGCCCACCTCTGACTGGAGCCCGAGTCTCCAGGGCACACACGGCCTGGCCCTTCTGCGCGCTTATGCACCTGACTGCAGACCTCGCAAATCATGTGCATGTTATACAGGAAATGTCCCTCCAGTAAACCCTGACACACTCCGCCTCCCGAGCGCCGAGACAGGTGTGTGCCGCCCTGCTCAGCGTTCGCGTCACACTTACTTTCTTTTGAGTCGACACACACACTGTGATCTTCATCATTATTCCTGAATAAAGGCTTAACTGAGTAAATCAGTGAATGCAGTACTTAAGGTCTGGGTTTTACTTAGAAATCCACAGCCCAAGTTTCAGGTCTGGCTCTGAGGAACCCTGCCGGGCCCACAGTGGTTTCCTCTTCCATCTCCTCTGCCACGGCGGGAAGCAAAGCAATTTTTAGAAAGTAGTATTTAATAAAAGCTGCGGTCACTAGTGAGGTGCTCTCCTAGGACTGGCACGAACAGCAGGCGCGAGCTGGGGCAGGGGCACTCACGCTCCTGGCAGTGCTCTCCATGGGGCAGGGAGGGCTCGGAGAGCACACACATTCACCAAGCACTGCACACACTGGAGGAGGCTACCGCCCACTGCACTGACGTCCACAGGGACGCACACACCGAGACGCAACGCGACCCGCGAGGACTGCCGAGCTTTTCCAGAGAAACTACTCACCCAAGGCGGGGTACCCGAGGTAAAATCGATCTGCTCCCAGCCATCCGAGAAAAAGAGACAGCGCCACCGCCACTTTGTATGAGTAGCCGTTTCTGTGCAGAAGGAAAACCAGAGTCACGCTCAAGTATTTCTAACGCTTAGCACTTTAGACAACAAAACTGTGAATTCCTATTCTTTGTTAAAGTCTCGCTCGTTCATTCCCTGATGCTTTGTAGGTGCCCACTGCGTGCCGGGCATTTTTAAAAGCTACGGAGATATTACTGAAGAAAAATGAAGATCCCTATCTCTGAGGAGCTCACATTTTCATGGCAGAGAGCCAAACACAAAACTAGGAGAAAAGCAAATTTTATTGTAAGAAAGTCACAACTGTCACGAGGGGGGAAAAAAGAAATACAAAGGGTATATGGGGAATCCAGAATGCCAGGATGTGGGAGGACTCCAGAAGGGCTGGGAGGGTGTGCGAGGACTCCAGAACGGGTGTGTGAGGACTCCAGAAGGGCTGGGAGGGTGTGCGTGGATTCCAGAACGGGTGTGTGAGGACTCCAGAAGGGCTGGGAGGGTGTGCGTGGATTCCAGAACAGGTGTGTGAGGACTCCAGAAGGGCTGGGAGGGTTGCGAGGACTCCAGAATGCCAGCTGTGTGGTAATCTGGAATGCAAGGCTGTGTGGGAATCCAGAGTGGCAGGGCACTCAATGAAGTGGCAAGACGAGCCTCTGGAAAAGGTGATGTTGGAGCAAAGACCCAGGCAAGGACATGAGTTTCGCCAGGGTAAACCTCACAGGAAGCAGTGTCCCAGGCGAAGACACGCCAGCACCTGCAGGCCTGAGGTCTACACAGCCAGTAGGGGGGGCAAAGAGGGAAGACCATTAAGAGGTGGGGGCAGCAAGGATGTGGGAAGTGGAGGAAGCAGCCTGGCCTTGTGCCCCATTGCCTCTTACTCTGAGAACGAGGAGATCTGAAGCAAAGGTACAACCTACCCTGGGCTACTCTGTAAAATAACCACTCTGCCACTCTGACTGCTGTGCGGAAAAGTAGACTCCAAGTGCATTTGTCAACCGCTGCCACTACAAAGCCATATAACTGCTTCCAAACGCTGAGGCTGTGAACCATGCTGCATGCTGAGCCCGCAGATCCAGGCTGCAGATGCTGGGCTTCTAGACCCAAAACTCAGTGCAGCAGCTACCTGAGACCAGGTCCTTCTAGAACACAGCGCCAAAGGAGAGGCTGGAAGCCAGGCCCCACACCTCAGCTCCCGTTTCCGGGCCACGAAGTGCTACAGCCACACTCACAATCAACAGGGTGGTGTGGGAGTCTACACCGCCTGGTGACAAGGACAGACAGGGACGGGGAAGCAGGTGTGAGCTGAGCAAACTCAAACTCCAGTGCGAAGTTTGACCCGGAGCACCAGACAGAACAGAGAAGTGAGCGGACTCTGGGTATGCAGCACTCTCAGCACAGCCACCTACATGTCCTGGTTTGCTTTGGATTTGTTTGTTTGCTTGCTTGAGACAGAGAATCGCTATGCAGCCCAGGTTAGCCTTGGACTTGTGATCCTCCTGCCTGGTATGAAAAAGGAAAGGAGTAAGGGCAGCACTGAGAAGGGGAAGCTGAGGGTGCAGAGCTCTGGGAAGGAAAACTAGGACTTCAGCCTTGCATACGTGAGTCTGATGCGTGTATCAGACAGCCACGTGGTCTCGTGCACAGAGCAGCTGGGTTTGAAGTCTGGAGTCACGGAGAGAAGTCCGGGCTGGAGCACACAGTTCCAGACACAGTGGACACACTGACAGCACATTCGTGCCCTGTGTATGCGCACGGAAAGAGAGACCTGAAGCTCCATACATGAAGAGATCATGGAGCAGAGAAGAAACACAAAGGAAAGGGACTGAGGAGCAAAGGCAAACTCACACAGCGGAGCGCAGCGTCCTGGGGCCAGGCAAAGGCAGCCTGAGGACAGACTGGCCCACCGTGCCCACCAGGGAGGGCTCACAGGGGCACAAGAACTCCTACTAACCCGTGGGACGTGGAGCCTGCTCACGGGTCTCATTCGGCAACAACGCCCAACTTGACTGAGGGAAGCAGCACCCCAGCGACACCAGAAGGACGCTTCACAAGAGAGGCAGAAAAAGAAATCAGGACTCTGAAAAAACTCAGACAGGAATCTAATGGGCAAGACACCAGAAGAAAGAGTAACAAAACTGGCAAACATTAAAAGAGCAGAACAGCCAGGCATGGTGGCGCACACTTGTAACCTAACACTCAAGAGGCTGAGGCAGGAGGATCACCCATCACAAGTTCCAGGCCAGCCTGGACTCCACAGCTAGACTCTGTGTCAAACAAGCAAACAAAACAAAAAGTTTGCCTGAGAAGGGGAATGAAATCCGAAAAGCATTCATCTCTAGGGGTGACTCACAGTGAACATTAATCCAGAAACGCGTGCTACGAAGAGACTGGTCCGTCACCACACTGGCTCTGTTTTCAAGCAGACACACAGCTACACCACACTCACTAGCCAGCCCTATCTGGCCCACAGCTCTCTTCGAGGGCTCCTCCTATGCCGTCTGGAATGCGGGCCCAGCGTGGGCTCCGGGACACCCACAGGAAGTGGCAGTCACTGTGCCCCACAGTTCTGCAGTGCCGAGGACAGGGGTGCCTCCGCTCCATGGGCCCGGCCCAGGCAGGACACACAGACAGTCTGAGAACACACAGAAGCACAGGAAAACCGCGATGGGAAAGGCCCCGCCTGAAGGTTGGCATCCGCGCCAGGCAGGACTGGGACCAGGACCGCCCGTCGGGCCCATGCTCATGACTTGCCAGCACCTTCCATGGCCCAGAGCCACTGGGCTCCCCGACCTGATCATCATCAACACCCTGTGAGCAGAGTCAGCGGCTCAGCCGACCCGACCCTGATGGAAGGGAGGCCACGCTCCGTCACCCGCTCAACACGGCCTTCCCAGCTGTCACCCGCGATGCTCAGCCGTCCCGGTGCCCAACGCCTTCGAGATGTTTACAGCAGAAAAGTCAAGCTAGAACTTACAAGTCGATGACATCATGCCTAAGTACCTCAGAAATAATTCCTTTAACAACTTTGCTTTGCTAGTGAAAAATTTTGAAACTCATGGTTAAGCGATTGCTTTAGGATTAAACAGTAAAAGTCCTCATTAACTCAGTGAGGTAAAGGCAAAAGTTCTTTTAAGGATTCTGAAAATAGCTGTGGAAATAGCGAAACAGAAGTGAAAACAGAAGGAAAAGTGGAAACAAAGCTTCTGTACATAGGGAGGGAAGGGAGCTAAACGGGGGGATGGGATAAAATAAAATTTATTTAACAAATAGAGAAAGAAATAGCCAAACAGTGGTTAATTCTTTTTTTTGTGGGGGGGACTGCGGATCGAACTCAGGACCTTGCATTTGTGAGGCAGGCGGCAGAACCACTCAGCTAAATCCCAGCCCAGTGACTTCTTGGTGTAACTGCAAATAGGGTGCCCTCAAATAAAAAGGACCCACGAGGCCGGGGACGTCGCACAGAGCTGCCACGCCTGCCCGGCCAGCGCAGGGTCCTGAGTTAGATCCCCGGGGCCCAGAATCCCATGGCGGCGGTGCGAGTGCAGCTCAGTGTGCAGGCTGGGTCCTGGGTTTAATCCCCAGTACTGCAAATGGCAACAACTAAAAAAAATAAATGGGTAAAACTTAACTGTGTTTTTAGCAAAAATATAAGAATAGGAAGTAAGCTTTAATACAGCAAAAATAAAAATCAAACTTGAAAACATTCCTAAGAAAATAAAGCCATCTGTCTTACTATCCCAAACTGATAACGTGGAATTCCACTGAATGCTACCCCTCCCCCTCTGTCCTGTCCCCACCACAAATAAAACCCAGCTCCGACGTGTCCTTACTTACCAGTGATGGCAACAGTCACGGCTTTTACCCTCACAAGTGCCCTGAATCTCGGAGCCAGGACCTCTCATCATCTCCCTGGTGGCAGAGCCGACAGCCGCATCCAAAGGCACAAGGCCCAATGGCCCATCCTCCGCAGGGCCAGCGCACTGCCATGGGCCCCACCGACACGTACACAAACACGGGCACACGTGACACGAGCAGACAACAACAGTGCACGTCCAGGATCTCCTTCACAAACAACCGCTTCACTCCACGACAGGGGCAAGGAATCTGGAATTTCAAGTTTCAGGAATGTACTTACACATTTCGGCAAGGTATGGGCTTGAAAAAACCAACTTCTTGTCCGGTAAAATGTGTTTCATTGCCACCGAGATCCTTACATGTTATATTGGGTGCTGGGAAACAAGGAGCTAGAGGCAGAAAAAACAGAGAAGCCTTTACTTTTCTTTCTTTAGAAACAGTGTGTAATTGTTTTTCTCTAAGACTGGCAAAGTACATAAAAAGATTAAGGTCACGGCAAAGTACCTCCCCAGGTGACACATTCCACAGGGTGCCGACTAGGAGAGGCTGTGACACGGGCACTTCTACGGCAAACAACTCGACAGCCTGCCTGGACCCTCCCAGTTCCAACTCTGCCTCGGGTGGAGACCCGGTGAGAGGGGCTGTGCACGACTGCCCGTCGGCTCAACCCTGGGAGGAAGGACACCGAACTCTGCCGGGAATGAACATAATCTGAGAGCGGCCACAGAAAGCAGCCCTTGGGGTCCTTGTGGTCGACGCAGCACCAAGGTCCTCGACAGACATCCCAAAGGTTGTAGGGATTGGATATGCCCAGGTCCCTAGCACAGCAAACATACAGCAGGTACTCAACAAATGCTAAAATTCGAAGGTAGGGCAGTTTCAGAAAATGCTAATCTGTTTAGCATAAAGAACTAGTTTTTTTGAGAAAATGTGAATAGAACTTTACAGTAATCTACATATCACACACAGACTTTGGAGTTTGAAAGGAAGAGGGTATTTTCTGAGTAGTTGATAATTATCTTATAGTTTCCAACAAATCCTTGTCCTTTTTCAGGCCAGACTAGTACACTGAGAAAATGACACCGAACAAAAGCCCCACATGACTCTTGCACCGGGCCCTGGAATCCTAAGAGCCTGACTAGGGCTCCATGAGCTTTCCTCACTCCGCTCCGCCCACTGGGCGACTTCTGCAGAGAGGGCCCCGCCCGGCTGGTCCAAGGGAAGGGCGAGCAGGGGCAGAGGGCAGCGCCGACCGCACACAGCTGAGTGGGCTCCAGCACCCTCCCACCGAGGACGCGCCAGCCTGGCCGGGCACCAACTGCCGGCC